GTTTTATGTGTGTCATATGTGCTCCAATATGGATACCATCTTGATTTTTTCGGACCACATCCTGAAGAAATCCCTGATAAGTATATTAATTAGGTCTCTGGGACTACAGGACATTTCAAATTGATTTAAACTGATTCTTCTTCATTCAGGCAGTCAATTTGACTTGATAAATCAAATTAAATATATCCCATTGAATACAAATTAATTCAGATGCTTCTATACTTGTTTTTTTTTAGTAATAAAAAAAGATTACTTTAATCAAATTGGGTCAGATTCAGACATCTGGCCCAAATCAGTTCAAATGTCACAAGTGGAGCATTAAAATAATAAGAACGAGAACAACAACAATAATAATCAATTTAAATATTTCCAAGCAGAACTATTTTCCAATTCAATGGAACCTTCGAAATGGATCTCCTAGGCATGGCTTCCTGTGTTTCTATAAAAATCCATCTGTAGTCATTTTTATATATACCGTACATATTTCTGTATAAAGTCCAAGAATAAGTCTTACCATTCGAATTTTCAATGACTTCTTTGAATTTCCATTCATTAAACCTTACAAAGAAGATTCCAGACTAGAAACTAGTTTTCTCAAAAGTACGTGTGAAGCCTCAATGCAAATACATTGAAAGCACACTCTCTTATAGGCTGATTTTGTAATGCAGTTTTAGCTCTGCATACTATTTTTGTATTTCAAGCGACTGAATTTGTAGCTGGCACAGAGAGGTGACAAAGAGAAGAAGGAATCTATTATTTTTTCTTAACTGCAGTTAGGCAAACAGCTGAAAACATAAATGAGCTGGCTGAAGTGGAAAGCAAATTTGCAATGCATTATAAGTAGCTACAAGGGGAAGTGAAAGAATTATAGTTATTTCTTCACATTTACATATCACATTCTCCTGAGCAAGAAGCAAAAGAGCAACGATAACATATATTTCTGCACCATGCATCCCGATTGGGGGTACAGAGAAGTCCAACCTGACAGTGCAAAATAAATTCAGACACAAAATCTAAAAGAAAACATAGTCATTTGTTGATTGAAGTGATGTAAATAAAAACATAAGCCAATAAAATAAGAAATTCCTAAAGTTTCCAAAGGGAAATGACAACACTCACGTACTGTAAGGGATGAACTCAGTAACAGCCAACATTTCATGACTATCAGCAGTACAGATAGTCCTTGACATACGATTACAATTTAGCTTAACATTTCTGTTACTAAGTGAGACAGTGAATCACTGAAGTTGATAAGTTAATAACACAACTGTAAAGTGAATCTGGCTTCCCCATTGTTCTGACCAAGGCTTCTGAGCCCATAATGACGCACATGCTTATTTTAAAAACAAGTTGTGTTTTATTGCAATGCTGGGAATTGTTTTCATTCTCAGCCGGTAATGAATCTCAAACAGTCCCTCGAGATAAGCACCCACCTTTCTTTCCTGTAAAGTGCTGCCAAGATCAGAAGTGTCAAATAAACAAAAACAAAAACCAACTGAAGTACAAAGAGCTTCAATAACAAGTCTGAACTGAACGAATGACTTTGCTTCCTGCAAAGGTTTCTCTACCTTTGTACTTCCTTTATCCCTTATGGGAGGGTCAATCACCTCCCAGCCTTACTCCCAAGTTGCCCCTTCTGCTTCAGCTGCTCTTGCCTTCTAGCAGCTTTGCGCACACGTGCACTGGGAACAGGCTCACCTTGTTCCTCTGCCTCGCTGCTGTCAGACTCAGAAGGCAGCACCCCACTCCCAGATGGTCCTGGCCCCATCTCTGCATCAGACACAGGACCCTCATCCAAGTCCTCTCCAGACTCTCGGACTGATCCCCTTTCTTCCCCACTGTCTGATTCCACTGCCGTCTGCACCGGCTGCCAGAGAACCACAACTCTGTTTGTCACATGACCTTGAGGGACTCTATGACTGTCATAAATATGAGCCAGTTGCCAAGAGTCTGGATTTTAATCATGTGATCATGGGGATACTCCAATGGTCATAAGTCTGAAAATGGTCATAGCAGGTCACTTTTTTCAGTGCTGTCGTAACTTCAAATGGTTATTAAACAAAAGGTTGTATCTCAAGGACTACCTGTAGCATTTCCCCATCCTTGGGAATATCAAAATATCTCGGCTTTTCTCAGAGAAAATCTCAACAGGATTAAAACCAAGTTCATACTGCCATACAGCTGCAGTTCAATGCTTTGATTTGGGAGTAAAAAATTGATTAAGCCAAATCTGGTCTTATTTTAAATCACTGTGATTTTATGCAAAGTATAAGTAATGAGTAACTTTCCATTATAAGATCATCCACTCCAATGAATAATGCATGCAACCCCATTTTCTCTCAATGAAGGATGAAAACCCTGGAAAAATAGATTAAAACTCTGAGATGGAAACCATCTCTGTCAATGCCACCATGTCAAGAGATTCGTTTATTGACGTGATGGCATGTAAGAGGTGCAAACAATAACAAAATGCATGTCCTATTTGAGAGAGAGAGAGAGAGAGAGAGAGAGAGAGAGAGAGAGAGAGAGAGAGAGAGAGAGAGAGAGAGGGAAAAGCAACTTTTTCAGCTTCTATGATAGGTTATCCAGAATTTGTATTCATTTCCATCTTTTCTTTGCTTGATATCTTGGATTTTTGGGGAAGAAAATAATGCAAGCAATAATTATGAAGAACAAAGGAACAAAGAACAGGAATATGAATATAAATATGATCACAGTGAACACATAACGAACATTTTTTTAAAAAAAAAATCTAACTTAAAAGAGATAAATTATAGAGAAAATGTCAAAGGCCCCTTGTCATCACTTTAAACCTCAGAGTACCTCCAAATAAATGTTGCCAAACTTTTAGTTGTGAACTGGCTGATACTGGGCAGCATAATTGCTTTCTTAATTTATTTATTTCCCTCCACGTATGTGAAAATAATGGCCAAAATGATTTGTCAGTGACAGCGTTTCTTAAAGGTCTTGAACATGGACAGTAATGTCAAACTTCCTTTGACACAGAACTCAAAAAGATAGAACCAAGTCCTGTTTAAAGTTTTGAGTTGACTTAGTGCCTGGGAAGAATTTGTCAGTCTTTCAAAGTAGATTAAGTGAAGAGATAGACACAAGAAGGATTCTAGGAGTGAAATATTCCTGGATATATTAGGATGTAATTACAACATCTTGAAATTCTGTCAAGGTTTCTTTCTGTTCCCTATTACACTAAGAAAAACAAGACAGGATTGTTTTAACTTTTATTCTCTGCTTCAATAGCAATAGCCCTTAGATTTATATGTTGAGACTCTGGAAAGAGTGCAGAGAAGAGTAACAAAGATGATTGGAGGGCTGGAGGCTAAAACATATGAAGAATGGATGCTGGAACTGGGAATGGCTAGTCTAGTGAAGAGAAGGTCTAAGGGTGATATGATAGCAGTCTTCCAGTATTTGAGGGGCTTCCACAAAGAAGAGGGGGGTCAAGCTATTCTTCAAAGCCCCCAAAGGCAGGACAAGAAACAATGGATGGAAACTCATCAAGGAGAGAAGCAACCTGGAACTGAGGAGAAATTTCTTGACAGTGAGAACAATTAATCAGTGGAACAACTGGCCTTCAGAAGTTGTGGGTGCTCCAACACTGGAAGTTTTTTTAAAAAGATGTTGGATAATCATTTATCTGAATTGATAGAGGGTTTCCTGCCTAGGCAGGGGGTTGGACTAGAAGACCTCCAAGGTCCCTTCCAACTCTGTTGTTCTGTTATATACCGCTTCACAGAGCTTCCCAGCCCTCTCTAAGTGGTTGACAGAGTCAGCCTATGGCCCCCAACAATCTGGGTCCTCATTTTACTGACTTCGGAAGGACAGAAGGCTGAGTCAACTTGAGCCGGTCAGGATCGAACTCCTGGCAGTGAGCAGTGATTTAGCCTGCAATACTGCATTCTGACCATTGAAACTTCAATTGACTGTTTAGTCTTATGACCATATAAAAAATATAAAGCAAAAAGAAATATAAAACAAAAATAAAATAGGGGATGTAAGTCCAGTGTAAAATAGATAAAAGAAAAATACAGGGGTTGTTGACTTATGACCACACTGGAGAACCAAAATGTCTGTTGCTAAGAGAGACAATTGTGAGTTTTGCCCCATTTTATGACTTTTCTTGCCACAGATGTTAAGTGAATTGCTGCAGTTGTTAATTTTGTGGGTTGGTTGGATTGGGTGGACGGTTGGATCCTGCTTCCCCATTGACTTTGCTTGTCAGAAGGTGGCAGAAGGGTTCTTCGTGACCTTGGGAATGCAGCAACGGCCATCAATATGGGCCAGTTGCCAGCCTCTGAATTATGATCACCTGATTCAGGTGATGGCTGTAAGTGTGGAAAAGGTCATAGGTCACTTTCTACAATGCCGTTGTGACTGCGAAAGGTCCCTAAATGAACTGTTCTTCACCAAGGACTACTTACAATCATAAAATGCCATATGTGTTAAGGAGAAAAATAAATAAATCAACATCCAGGTAAATACATTGCCTTTATGGATACCTCAGTTTGTTAGAAATAACGGGTATTTCGGTCAAGTGCCTTCGCTACAAAGCTAGCAAGATGATGTATAACCTCTGCGGATGATGTGTCAATTAGAAGCTAGGAGGAAATCGGACCATTCGCAATACAGATCTTAGTGTTGCTATTATTCCAAGTAGAAATGTTAACTATCTAAGCCTAAGAGGGGCCTATAATTGACAGTCAAGCAACATGTTGATGGCTGCAGCAGTACCGCACATAAAATCCTCTCACGATGTGGCAGGTGGTAGAAGCATCCGCCTTGGACCATATTTGAATCCAACCACTCAACTCCTGCTAGGCCAATTGAGAGGCTGCCATCCCCCATGGCCATTGTGGACAAAACAGCATAAAACTGAGATGCTCTTCTCCCCTCTTTTACCCCCCCCTCCAGGGCCACAGGTGCAAACTAGGTCTGGGACACAGGAAGAAGTGACCGTGAGTGTGCCATCAGCGTTCCAACATTCAGCCAGCATAATAAGGGTTAACACGGGCACATTTACTTACGTTTTGCAGCTGGACTTGGCTTTGGGCCCTGGTGTCTGTTTTTGCCATGATGCTGGAAGCATTAAGGCTGTAGGTTTTCCCGTTCTGTATCTCTTTCAACTGTTCCTGGATGTACTTCGTTTGCTTTCTACAAAGAAACACCAACCAACCAACCAACAGACAAAAACAAGGGGGTTAGTTACCTTCGAATTCACTTTGTTTTGTTTTGTTTTGCTTTTCCACTTTTAATCAAAAGTGAGTGGCAATGGAAGAACAGAGCCAACCAGAGGTTGCATTGGGTTCTTCTTTAGCAAGGTCCCAAAGGCATCAGGCCAATGATGTCATATGGTTTAGGGCGGGTCTGCTGGATGCAGAGCAGCTCACAGCGTGATGAGATTGAAAGGGGGACAACTGACATCATTTGACATAAACCAGGTTTTTAGAATCGGATGACCGAATGCCATGGCGACTGGGAATTTGGAACTCATCAAGAGAGAATGGATTAGGAAAAGGCTGGGATTAACAGTGCAAATACAGAGGCATATTTTGCTAAATGAGGAAGGACAGATCAGTTATACTGGCTCCCTCTTATGAAAAGGATGAAAAAAAAAAAAGAAGTGATGGGAGTAATTATTTTGCATTGAATATGTTGGAGCAGAAACTTGCTAAATGAATTAAAAATAAGGCTGGGCAGTAAGATTCTATTTACACATCAGCACTTTCTTTGGAAAAGAAGTCAAGACTCCTGTAATTTCATTCATTGAATGTGTTAGCAAAATATCTATAAAAGGAGCTGCTCCGCCTTTTGTAAGAAATTGTTACCCAGGTAATCATGACTACAATAAAATGCTACATAAGCAACTGGCTGCACTTCACACAATTTTATACACAGTGTTCTTCAATAACTTAATCGCTCTCAGATTAACACAGAATTATAACCAGTTTTTAAAAGTGAATGTTAAAGGGATTATCAATCAATTAATTTGTGGGAAATGCTGTAGAATGCATAATTGGGGAGTAATAATTTGTAGAAATACAAAGGTTTTGGGTTATACATCAGAGTATCAGTAGACTACACATTTTGCTATAATAATACATTGGAGAATCATAAATGTGATTCTTTCATTACATAGAATTCAACATGTTGGAAGATACACATCGAGTGGTAAGGACTGTTCATCAACTCATGATCACAAGAGGGCAATAGAGCATAGATAGAGATTTAAGGATTTCATAGTACAGAAATATATGTAGCTCAAGATTAAACTGTTGGGTTATTGGTGTTTTTCTGAGCTTGGTTGTTTTCCTGTAGATGTTTCATTACCAGGTTAGGGAGCAAGATCAGTGCACGGGAGAGTGAAATTTAGGAGAGAATATTTGTAGCTCAGGGTTGAACTCTCTGAGCTTGGTGGTTTTTCTTGCAGAAGTTTCATTTCCCAACTGAGTAACATAAAATTGCATTGATGATGTTACCTAGTTGGGGAATGAAACATCTGCAAGAAAACCACCAAGCTCAGAGAGCCCTAAGGATCCCAAAATGAAATGTGTAACTATATAACTAAAATATATAACAATATATTGCTTATATATAGCAGTGTGCTTGTCAGTCTTGGCACAAGACTGACCATTTTCCTCCTTAATAGTTCCTTGATAAGGATATTGTTTATGCCTTGACTGCTCATCTGGTGCTGCTGGGAAGATCTATTCTGCTCGGAATAAGTTGTTTCCTCCTTTTATTCTGCTATTTAAACAGTGTGTAGATATGTTTATCTGTATTTGTCTGTAGATGGCTGGTTTGTCTGACTGCTTCAGTTTCCAGGAATTCCCCCGGCATTTTTGGATTTGGCTCGGTCAATCATTTCCTTGCTGAAATTGTGGTTGAATTTGTGCATTGAGAAGTTAAGAAATTTACATCATTGCTTCTGATTGTCAGGCGGGGCTCATTAAATCATTCTGTAACGCTAGGGAATTCCTGGAAGTTTGGCAGTCTGGCAAGTTTTCATGAAGTAAGGGAAACCTAGGTTTGTTGTAGCCTAATCCAGTAGAACAGCATTTTCTTAGAATTAAAGCTTAATATAGTTTCAGGTATTGATTAAGATAGAGTTTTTCTAAAGACTGTATCATGGTTCCTTCTCCTTGTCCTTCTCTTTCTCTCTTTCTCTCAATCTCTCTCTCTCTCTCTCTCTCTTCCCCTCCTCCTCCTCTTCCTCCCCACCCTTCTCCTTCTTCACTCCTTCTTCTCTTCCTCCCTCTCTTTCTCCTTCATTCTCTTTTCCTTCAACCTCTTCTCCTTGTCCTTCTCCTTGTCTTTCTTCTCCTTCTCCTCCTTCTCCTTCTCCTCTTTCTCCTTCTTCTCTTCCTCCTCCATAATTTTTTGCAGTGGATGCTATGTTAATGGGTAATGATTGATCATTGCTTAATATCAAACCCTTAACAACAGAGCTTGATCAGGAAAGCAAGATTCACACTGAACTTCATTAATGAGGTTTAATTTTAAGGCGGAAGGAATTAGGTTACAAATCTTGGAAACTGGATTAACAAAAATGCTTGCCCTCCATGAGTTCATTATGGTGGGGGTCTCTAGGTGTTGCTTGATCTCCCCACCACCACTTAGAGTGGGCAACTGAAATGGCCAACAGTCATTTCCTGAGATAAACATGGCATTTAACATCCACCTACCATTTGTTAGTATTGCTTTGATAGACTCCCTCAGCTTCAGTGAATTTTCTTATAGATTACTGCAAACCACTGTGAGTCTTTGATAGATTGAGTAGTGTGTAAGTGGAACAAAGAAACAGAGTAAATGAAAATAAATTTTAAAAAATACGTGGAAGGATTGAATCCGATTTAAAATAATGGGGCAAATAAATAATGTTTTAAAGTCCCTTCCACTGAAATCCATGGGATTTAACTCAGAATAATTCCCAGTACGGTGAGTTTTCTCACTCACCAATATTATGCATCAGGATAATTGACCTGTTTGGCTTCCCCTGAAGAATGTCAGTTTTTTGTTTATTTGTTTGTTTTGAAGAAAACAAATATTTCTCTTTGCTTCCACGAATGAAACCACAAAGGGAAGAAAATGAAACACGATCAGGGAGGGAGTAGCATTAAAATGCCAAAGCCCTTTATTCTTGCAAAGGACATAACATTCCTGATAGCAAGAACAATTTCACAAGAGATAATTGTTTATTGAAAATCTTAGCTCTTTCCCGTGAGGTCTTATGGTGCCACAAGATTCACAGGTATTTACAATCTTACTCATTTCATTCTACACAGAGTATAATAATACTTCTAACACCATCAAACAACCACATATGTCTATCTCAGATCCTTCAGTAAGACTCAATAGGAGGATAAAAATACCAAATATGATTTGAACACCTGGCTGACTGAAACAAATTATTTTAATACTACTATAAATTGTGGCAAAAGAAAGCAAAGATACCAACATTACCAACAGTAACAGGTGCCTTGTGTGCAATCCCAAGACAACTGTATGCCCTTGGCATTGACAAAATCACCATCCGTCAATTGCAAGAGGCAGTTTTACTGGAAGAGCTTACATCCTGCAACCATATCTTTAACCCCAACAAAGGATAACATCTGCCTATTTCAGGTCCTTGGGAAGGATTTGATAGGTGGATAAAACACCAAGTCCAGATATCTGGCTGACTACGCAATGGACCATAATATAAAAATAAAATATAATACTTGAGTATAATATGAGAATAATTCATAGGAGACCAATGGGTTATTTTATAATCACTGCTAGGACAGGGGTGTGGAACTCGATTTCACTGAGGGCCACATCAGAGTTGTGTTTGACCTTGTGGGGGTCTGGCTGGGGTGGGGTGGCCAGGGTGGGTGTTGCAAGCTCAACATCACTCATGTCGGGGGCACCTGTGGTGGCCAAGTGCTAAGGCAGGGCTTCCCTCAGACCCTCCCTCACTCTCATTATAATCTCCTTCCTTTCTTCCTTCCTTCCTTCCTTCCTTCCTTCCTTCCTTCCTTCCTTCCTTCCTTCCTTCCTTCCTTCCTTCCTTCCTCCCTTCTCTTCTTTTTCCTTCCCTCTTCATTTCATTCTTTCTTCTTCCTTCCCCTTTTTCCTTATTTTTCCTTCCTTGTTCTCTTCCCATCTTTCCTTCTCCCCCCACCTTCCTTTCTCCTTTCCTGTCCCTTCCTGCATGCTCAAATGCAAAAAGAGGAAACATTTCTTCTTTTGTTTTGTTTTTAATTTGTTTTGCTAGCCCTCTGCCAACATTACCAACAGTAACAGGTGCCTTGTGTGCAATCCCAAGACAACTGTATGCCCTTGGCATTGACAAAATCACCATCCCTGCAATAAATTATTTTATCACTGATACTGAAAGCTGAATACTTCCAACCATGTTGTTATCATCCTCCATTATCTCTAGAATATTCTAGAGAATATTATCTCTAGAATATTAGCCAGGGCTATTTTTGAAAGATGATAAATAAGGAAATAAGGTAAGGATCAGTGTCTTTTCCCCCATATTCTTACAGCCGTCTGGCCTAAACAAGGCTACCAAAAACTAACCAAGACCTTCACTTGTTTTTCTACATTTTGGTGGTGCAATTTTAATCCTAAAGACCTTGTTGCATGAAATTGTGTAAATTAGATCCACTTTAACACAGACATTGAATCAACTGGGACAAGGCACTTGATCCATATTGATTCAAACCTGGAGTTGATCCTGACTGTATGCAGAGTTGCACTGCAGAGTAAGAAGGATAAATGGATGGCATATAAATTAGATATTTAAAAAAACTGGTCCCATTAAACACAGAAGCATATTTGGAGACAACCATCTTACTTAATCCAAATTGATTCAGAGTGGGACCTAAGCACATAACTGCATAAAACAAATCTTTGCTATGTCTTTTTTCAAGAACAAGAGCCTAAATAAGCTATTTAATGGATGGAAAACACCAATGTCTTGGCAGGCGAGAAGGAAAGGGTGGAGACTGGTTAGTGAGCCTTACTTTGTTCTGAAGTAGAAGGCTGCAGAGATTGTGCCCACAATGACGATCCCAAAGACGATGCAGGAAATGGACAGTACCTGTCGCTGGTAAACCTCTTCGCTCTCTGTGGACGGCAGAATTGAGAATAACAACAACATTAAACAGAACTCTTGAGCATTACAGAGATAGTTTCTTTTTTTAAAATGCATAAATGTAGTCAACACTTTGCTCGTGTGGCCAACAGTGCGTGCTTCTCATTTTGACTAAAAATCCCTAAGGAGCTTTGTGTTTCATGGGACGACATTGAATTGTTGACCAACACAACATACAAAGCTTTCGTGAATCCTCCAAAGACCTCTTGATGCATAATAAGGCTTATTGCATGAACTTCAGCCCTTTTAACCAGCCTATTTTCCTACAGGGAGTACTGTATCACATGGAAATATTCTTACATTTTACATGGCACATGTGGAAGAAACTGAGATCAGATGGCAAGTTATTTTAAGTAGCTGGCCAATGTCCCTATGGCCCAATATTTAACTGTCCACCTAAAAGCTTGACTTTAACAGCTTCTACAAAAAGAAAAAAGAAACTTCTTAAAAGTTTCTCTTAATGGTTCCCTTGGATCTAGAAGCATGTTATTATAAAAATTAAATGTATTCAGCCCAAGGAATAGCTGCCCATTTCTTCAGAAAACCATATAAGTAACAGAAATTTCTTTCATGAACACAATTGTTATTGTGCTTCAGGAGTTTGTTTTGTTCTTTAACTATGCAATTACTTTTAGCCTCCATATTGTTTCTCTCAGTTCCAAGCCAAGAAGCAATATCATATCTTGAAACTTTACAGCATTGAAGAAAAAAAAAAAGGAATAAAAGCCAACTCAAAAGAAATTCCTTCAGTTTGATAGAATTGGAAACCAGCCAATTCTATTAAAGCTTTCTGTAGTCTTAGATGTAGTCTAATGCACAGGATTTCACTTTCCTAGCAATTGTTTTTTTTTTAAAGAAGTATTATTTAAAGCAGGGGTCTCCAACCTTGGCAAATTTAAGCCTGAAGGACTTCAACTCCCAGAATTCTGGGAGTTGAAGTCCTCCATGCTTAAAGTTACCAAGGTTGGATACCCCTGATTTAAAGCAATCTCTATGGTAAACATGGTTATCCAGATGACAAGGAGACAATTACTGGACAATTAATATGCAGCTGAGACACTTAACTAGAAGTGAGTCAATAATTTCCCACTGTATTTTAATATTTTAATCAAAGCCTTTCTCTTCTGATTGGTCTTTCCATTCCTCTGGATTATATTGTTGTACATTAACGTATAATGCAAGAATTAATTACATTAAGGCTGAACAGCAAGCTTACAACTTCAAGATATTGACAAATATCTGGGTAAATATTGAATTGAAACTTGGAAAGAAATGTGCTATGTATTTGATCATTTCTAGAGCCAATCCAAAGGGAGAAACAGAGTAATACACAGAGGATTGGCTGTTTTCACTGACACATATCTGCAAAGAGTAATAGTTTAATTAAATATTTAACATAAATATTCATGGAAGAGCTTTCTGCCATGATTGTTTTGTCCTTAGTCAAGATGAATAATGCAAAGGGACATGAGTGAACTAAAATTATTTTTCAGGCTCATTCATTTTAGTAAGAAAGACCGAAGCAAGTGTTGAACTCTTAATGAGCAGAAATTCATAAGACCCATTCTGCATTGTGTGGAGATATTTGGCAAAAGACTGGTTTTTAACTCCTGTAAAATATGCACCTTTCCAAATGTATAAACAACTGACACACTCATTTGTTTTTCACACATATTTAAAAATATCTCCGATGCAGCCATAATATGTGAATGAAGAGAAGCCAATAGCCACCTAATCACTTCATCTGAATCCAATGCTTCAAAACAAGGCTGTGATCCCATAACCATTTTCCCATCTATTTTAAAACTTTGAAAAACCAGCTAGGAATATTTCTCATCCACAGGTTCAGAAATACAAACAGTACTTTTAATACGTGTCCAGAGCAGGTAAAGTTACCTGCTAAAATTCATAGCAATTGCTTGCATTCTGCATATACAAAACCAGATAGATTTCTCCAAGTTAACACTGCAGAAGAAATATTAGGATTCACAAAAACATTGTACATTTCAAGGATCATCCGCAGAAAAATCAGATGATGCATGCACATGTCATGAATCAGAAAACCTGAAAATTCAGGCTGAAAGCAAATGGTACATTTACATTGAGAAAATAGATTAAGTATTGGCTGTATCCATATTTCCCATTCAATCAGACAAACATACATTCTTGCATTATTTTCTTATAGTTTCATCCAAGGGCTTTTCCACATACAAAAAGAGTCTTGCATTAATTTATGGCCTCATTTTATATCTCTGTTATCTCCTGCATTACGTTTTTGTGAACTAAACTTAATGCAAAAATCAGGATTGATATGACCGTCCTTTGCTGTCTTGAAATGAACAAGATTGTCTAGCTTTCAGTTTATCTTCTTATACAGTTGTGACTTTCTTTTACTAGACAACAAGTGTCCTATGAAGGCTGGTTGTTACTCTGATTGACTAGAGCATATGGGAACTGAAGCCCTAAACTTCTAAAAATCACCCAATAGCATCACAGGCAAGTATACAAGAAAAGATCCACAAAAGCAAATGAGAAACTGGAATTTTGGCTGGAAACATTAAAGCCTGTTTTCATCACATGAACTACACAAAGACCTTAATCTGAGATTGGAACTAGTTTTGGGGAAATCTTACTAGGCTATAAGTGTTGTTGTGTTGAATTGTGTAAGTGAAGCCTTGGAGAGAACAAGTAGGTCACCTTTCCTGGACTCATCGTGTTCACAGTTTGTTACCTGATGTTGTATAATTAAAATACATGCACAATTCATTAGCTTTGGAAGTGGCTAAGTTGTTTAAGATGAGTCATTAATGAAGCGGGGAAGAATGAATTGACTGTCCAGCTGAGTTGTTTTGTGCAGATGCATTATGTCATTAAAAAAAAAAGGATGACAACAAGTTAGAGGTTACCCACATTTATATCTGTCTCTTTGGATTAGCTTTTCAAGATGATTAAGTGGAGGATCATGAAGGTCCCGCATGCCATTCACCAAGTCTTCATGAGAAGAGGTCCCTAACTTTACTTAACTGTTAGGTTTCAGAGTTGGAAAACTACCATAGACAACTGCACTACAGCTTCATAACCTTTCTTACTAAACTTCTTCCTGGCTAAGAAGATTAATTTAATGCTCCTTCTTCCAACCCTAGACTCTAACCAAGACTCTAACTTAATATTTATCACAGCTATATTTCTTCAGGGCAGAATTTTCCACGAGCCACCTTATAACAGGAGTTTCTCAAGGTAGCCATCAACCCCTCATCCTTCTCTCATTGGAACAGATGCTAGGACAATCTGATAAGTTTTTAATCTTGTTTTCCCGTTATCAGAAGAGAAGCCTAATGTTCCATATAATATAGTTAAATTTTGTATTGCAGCTATTAAAATAAAATTCTACTGAATGACATCTGTGGTAAGGAAGAATAAATGCCATGCCTTGGGTATGTTATGTTATAAGCTATATCACTGGAATTTTACATACTTTTTTTAAAAGGTTTTATTACGCTATATTACTGTTAATGTAATTTTGCTGTCCAACTCTTTTATTGTTCTGAGTGTTGATTGAATAAATGTGTGCCTGTGTGTTTGAGTTCCTCTCTTCCCTAAACTGTTTAGCTGCCCCTCCTATATTCAACTGTTATCAGGCAATTCTAGGAACGCAAGAGAAACAGGCCTATTGCCCCTTGCCTATTACAGGTAGTCCTCAGCTTAAGACCACAATGGTGCCCAAATTTTTGGTTGCTAAGTGAGACAGACTGAATTTTGGTCACATGATTATGGGGATGCTGCAGCAGTCGTACGTGTGAAAACCAGTGATAAGTCACTTTTTTTTCACTGCGGATGTAACTTCAAATGGTCACTATATTAATGGTTGTAAATTGAGGACTACCTGTACTATATTTCATCATCTTCTTTTAATGACACCATAATCCCTTGCGGGGTAGAGAATAGAATAGAATAACAAAGGTCTTCTAGTCCAACCCCCTTCAGACAAATGGCTATCTAATCTCCTCTTTAAAACTCCCAGTGTTGGAGCATTTACAACTTCTGGAGGCAATTTGTTCCACTGGTTGATTGATCCACTTAGTTCTAGGTTGCTTCTTTCCTTGATTTGGTTCCACCCATTGCTCCTTGTCCTGCCCTCAGGTGCTTTGGAGAAGAGGTTGATTCCTTCTTTTCGGTGGCAGCCCCTCAAATATTGGAACATTGCTAATCAGGTCACTCCCTGGTCCTTCTTTTCACTAGGCTAGGCATACCCAGTTCCTGCAACCATTCTTCATATGTGCATCTCCTTTTCCCAATTTGCAGCTATCTCAAAAAAAAAAAAAAAATCCATTCCACAGAGAATAAAAGGGTTTCTGCAGACTTTTTGTTCCAATTGGCAGGCATAAATTATATTCCTGCCGATACAACATTTAACCACATATCAATTACCCCAAGTAAAAAAACGATGTCACACATTATTTTGTTGGCACATCTGCTGCCAACTGTACTTCTACCCAGGAACCCTGGAGCTCCATGACATTCCAGGATGAAGTTTCACTGGATGAGATCCAAAGCTGATCTTGTGAGGTCTCAAACAACAAAGCAGATTCAGACAGGATTACTGTTTGGATGGGAGACTATTCGGGACCCCAATTTAAATAATAGATCTGATTTGCTCCTCAATTTGACTATGATACAATCCATTATCATGGCAATAAAAATGCCATCAAGACGCTTAAATTGAAAATTAGAAAGGTTTTTTTTAATTCATTAAATGAATTTAATAATATGACTCAGCTAATTAATAAGGTACAAGATATTACATTTGCAACATGCACCCATTTTATCCATGACTCAGTGTGATCAATTAAATGCCCTGGCATGTTAAGAAAAGAGCAGAAATTAAAGGAAAACATTCTACAGAGCAACCATGTCAAAATGTTTCCTTTGTATGAATTCAGTCCTTTGTAGATGATGACAATTCACAGTTTAA